AAGAGGTGAGAGTCCGACAAAGCAGCCTGGCACAGTCATACTTTTTTTTTTTTTTTTCGCGTTGTGTATAGCAAACAAGACAACACACATAATAGTATAATACACACAAAAAGGCAAGGTGCTGCTGGCCTTTTGAATCGACCCGCCGCCATTGGTGGGGATGCCCTGCCTCCAAACGCATCTGGAAATGGTGGGAGAGTCACTGGAAGGTGTTTGCAGACCAGTCGATTTATTTATTTATTTATTTAGTTTTGTGCAGACAAGTCGATTCGTTGGGAGGAGAGATGGCTTTTGCTGGGGTTTCTCCCAGAGGATATGAACGATACGACTGGATGAAGTTATGTAGCCCATGTGACTCGACGACTGCTCTGTCAGATCATCTGGAAAGATCGAAACAGGGCAAGGTTCCAGAATAAGCCTCTACCTGACATTGAGACCAAATACAAATACGAGGACCCCCCTGTGATACTCCCTCGGGTGGCTCCAGTCTATTGGTGCTGTCTCTTATACACATCTAGATGTGTATAAGAGACAGCCTCCCCCCCCCCCAACACACACACAAAAGCTACCCACCAATCTCACAACAATTCCTGGATAGACCTACATACCTTCTCCCCCTCGTCATTCGTCGCACACCTCCCACTGTTCTCCACCAAGACGATCGGTATCTGCATATGCAACGCGGACAAGGAAACCCCCGAAAGGCGGCACATCAAGACATTTAAGACCAGTGCTAGGTTCATCTGAACCTGGCCATTATTCCAACCATGCAGGACTCAAATCTAGGACTCTCCCACCAGCAGGCATAGCATCAAGACATTTAAGACCCCCCGCCAACCGGCCGTACCTCCATCCTTTTTTGAAGTTTTTCTTTTTTTTTCTTTTCTTTTTTTCCTTTTATTCTCGTACCTCCATCCATCCTAACTGCCGCAAGAAAACATGTCCTAGCTGTCAACGCTGCTCTTTTTGCCGCACCACCATCACTTCTCCTCTTTTTTTTTTTTTTTTTTTGCCGTACCACCATCACAATGGAAGCCTTGGGTGAATTTTCAAGAGAGAGCAGTGTGAGAACCGAAATGTACATCAATAATCAATGGGATTTTATGAATTTTTATCATTTTAGTATTTTACACAAGGATTTACAGGAAAAAAAAAAATGGATTTACTATCATTTTAGTATTTTACCCAAGGAGCTACAGGAAAAAAGTTTGGATTTTATAATTTTTTATTTTTATCCTTTTAGTATTTTACACAGGAGCTACTGAGGGGCGAAGGCCAGAGCACGTCCGTGCATATAGTGCAATTTCGTTTGAGCAATTTCGTTTGAGCCTAGACAAAGAATGGGGGGGTCCTAGAAAGGGGTCTTGACTGCAGAACCAAATTCTAGGACCCCCCACCAGAGGACCAGACCTCCATCCCAACTGTAAATTTGGGGGTCCTACAAATGGGGTCTTGACAACAGGACTCCATTATAGGACCCCCCACCTCCGGCAGCGCCTCAAGACATCTAGGACGCCCCACCAACCCATCTTAACTTCCATCCCGACTGTAGAATTGGGGGGAGAAGGGGGGGGGGGGGAGTCCTAGTATGCGGTGTTAACCTCAGGACCACATTCTAGGACCCTCCAGCAGCAGGCAGAATGTCGACATCCCACTCTAGGAACTCCCACCCACTCACCGTACCACCTTTCCCAACTGTAATTGGCCCCTCCCTCTATCCGAACTGCTATACATGGGCCCAGATAGACAGGACCAAATGGGCCCCCGCAATGTGGACCTGAAAACTGAGTAGACATCTCTGATACAAAGCATACATGGGTTTCACCGATTAAAGTCAGATGGATCCTTGCTCAGTCCTTTGGTCACAGCATGACGGGCCCATTTGCGCCCATCTACCTGGGCCCATATTGGGGTGGAGCCAAAAATTGCGCAGAAAGCCATCCAATTCGAATCCAAGGACAGGAAACAAGAAACTCTGCTTCAGAGGGGGTGGGG